CACACTCACAGAGAGAGAGAGAGAGAGAGAGAGAGAGAGAGAGAGAGAGAGAGAGAGAGAGAGAGAGAGAGAGAGAGAGAGAGAGAGAGAGAGAGAGAGAGAGAGAGAGTCTCGCGGAGTGAGGACGAAGAGGTTCTGGCCTAAGGTGTTGACAAGGCTTGAATCCCTCGATACCTTTCTATCTAACCTTGTGAACAGACTATTTGTTTTAGAGGAACAGGAGCAGCATCAAGTATGTAGGTTCGTTTACGTTTTCTTAAAACCCAAACGTGCTCCGCTTAAAGCACCCTCGACCACCGCTCATCGCTCGCGCGTGCCACGAAACGAAACGCCGCTCGTATTGCGGCGGTGGCGGTGGGCGGAACCTCGGTTCGGTTTCTGTCAGCTTCGCACTCCCGTCAGGCTTGACGACTCGTTCTTAGAGGAGCTGGAGACGCTCGTCGTGCTCTTGGCACGCCACATCAGCGAGGTGAGCTTGCGCCGTTGTCGTTGTTGTCGTTGTCGTCGTTGTTGTTGGTGTTGCGTTGTGTACCTCACGTCAAGTCACGTTTTTGGCTTCTTTTATTTTTCTATTTGTGTTTAAAAGGTTTTGTTGTCATTGGTTTGACAGCGTGACATTGCGTCGTCGTCTTGTCACGTTTTTGGCTTTTTCTTTTATTTTTCTATTTGTGTTGAAAAACGATATTTTTTTCATTGGTTTGACAGCGCGACATTGCGTCGTCGTGACAAAATATATATTTTTTCATTGGTTTGACAGCGTGACATTGCGTCGTCGTCTTGTCACGTTTTTGGCTTTTTCTTTTCTTTTTCTATTTGTGTTTAAAAAAAACAAAAAAACATTGGTTTGACAGCGTGACATTGCGTCGTCGTCTTGTCACGTTTTTGGCCTTTTCTTTTATTGTTCTATTTGTGTAAAAAAAAACAAAAAAACATTGGTTTGACAGCGTGACATTGCGTCGTCGTCGTCTTGTCATCTACCGTCGTCGTCGTTGGTTGCTGCAGTTGCGCTGCGTGCCTCAAGCGAAATCCCGTTTTCCTGTATTTCGTTAGTTTTTTCGCTGCGACAACGTGGCGCTGCCATGGATGGGTGTATCAGTCAGTGGTGCGGTGTACGGGAGACCTGGCCGTGCTTACCCCCCCCCCCCCCCTCCCCCCGCGCGCGCTGGCGTTACTCCGACTTCCGCTGACACTCCCACCTGCTCGCGTCGGAACCAGGCCTTTACTCTAGTAGTGCTCGAGAGCCAAGTCACACGGCCCCCTTACGTTGCAAACGCAAACACAAACAGGAGGTACTGTACACGGGTTTGTAGACTAAATATTCGCACACATAGCCACAAAAGGCGCTCCGCACTGCCCACGCATATGATACATACGACCTCTTGTTCGTTTGGGCGTGCCTAACTCTACCCATTCGCTGTTTGTGCGCACATATGCATACCCACCACGCTGTTTTGTGTCGGACGCGAATGATATGACGGTACCGCAGGCAAAGACGCTCGGACACGCCGACATCATCAACTCCTCCCTTGCGGGGTTCATCCGAGACCTCTTCGCGGTGGTGCACCCGGCGCACGCGGCCAGACTCTGCGGGTCCTACATCCGTGTCATGAGGTCGAAGCACGACGCCCTGTACGAGGTGCGTTGTTTGTTGTGCATGGGGGCGACGCAGAGTGTCGTGTTCTGCGGGGGGAGGATTCGAAGGGGCGGCGAGGGGGGGTGGCGTGTTGGTGTGCGCTGTGTTTGCACGGGGGGTTGGTGCGGATGATAGTGGGTTGCGTAGCGTGTGCTTCGGGTGTGTATGCCCGGTGTGACGTTGGCAGCGGTAGCGGTAGCGGTAGCGGTGGTGGTGGTGGGAAGGCTGGACACCTGTTCTTGCCGGTTTCTTTAATTGATTTTGATGAGGGTTGTGGTGGGCGCGGAATCCCGCCGGTAGCAAGGAATTTTGATTTGCTCTGTCTATTTATAGCCGTTTTGCCGTGATAAGAAACCGAGAGAGACACGCGGCCGGCCACTTGGTACCGAAAACGGTGGTAGCAAAAGCGGTTGAGGCGAGCAACACAACGGGTCCGTCCCCGCTCCCCTGCACCCAGCCCAAACATGTGTAGTTGTTCTTCCTCCCCCGTGATGACTAACACAACGGATCCGTCCCCTCTCCCCTTTCCAGCCCCAAACATTCCTCGTTATTCTTCCTCCCCCCCAAAAAAAAAACGAAAAAAAAAACGGACGCGGTTCACTCTGCGCTTCCTGAGGGCTAGCCCAAACATGCCTCGTTGTTGTTGTTGCCCGTGATGAGCCCCCCCCCCCCTCCACCGTTGTTGTTGTTGTTGTCCCCCCCCCCCCAAAAAATTACAGACGCAGTTCACTCTCGGCTTCCTGCGGCGGCTAGCGATGTACGACCACGTCGTAGCGCTCAACTCCCCCCGCCTCATCCCCTCCGGGGTGAACCGGAAGACGGAGCGCGACCTAGCCCTCTGGTGTTCGAGCACCTCGGGCACCTCTGCGCGGCCGTACAGCATGCCTAGCGGGGGCTACGGCGTTGGTCTCGGCCTGTCGGGCTCGGCGCTGCGGCCTCGGGTGGGGTCCCTCGAGTTCGACGCCGCGGCGACGGCGACGGACAGCCTGGAGCCGCACTGGCTGCTGGAGCTGTGCATCCAGGTATTGTTGTTGTTTGTTGTTTTTTGTTGTCTTCACATTAGCAGTCGTTGTCATTGTTGTTGTTGTTGCTAATATCTTCACGTTAGAAGTCGTTCCGGTCTCTACTCCATACCGTACTAGTCCAACTGGTACGATTGTATGCATACTTGTTTTGTTTTTTCGGCCGGGTGGCTGCTGGAGCTGTGCATCCAGTTGTTACTAGCATTTTTTTTCTTCGGTCTTGGCTGGTTGGTGTAGCTGTGCATCCGGGTATTATATGGCTTTTTTTTATCTTCGGCGGGCTGGTTGATCGGTTCGTGGCTCTGGCTTTTACGGCAGGCACCTCAAGACACACACCCCAACACACGGAAAGACGACTCGTGCGTGGTGGCTGCCTAAGTGATTTCAAGGCACGAAAAATAAAACACGGTATTATTTGAAGGTTGCCGCAGAAGTGCAAGTGCCTGACCAGGCGCCAAGATGAGGAAACGAGCAACCTTCCTTCTCTTTTTCCCAATTTCATTTGGTGTTTTTTTTCGCAGGCATGCATATCTGCGACGGACCATGAGGTTCCCACGGTGCGCATGTCGGGTCTGGCCCTCCTGAGAGAGCTCCAGGTGAGAGATAAGCGGTCATCGATATTCTTTCCGTATGTACCCCCCTCTCCCTTTCACTTCCGCTTGTATTTTTGTGTTGAAAGGTACGCTATATGATAGTGTTCGCCCTAGCCCCCCCCCCCCGCCCCCACAGCCCCCCCCCGGTGGTTGCCATCGGGGTTCTGGGTTTTCGTCGCTTGGCAACGACGTTGTAAAACAAGCCAATTCACTTCGTGAACTCGGCAACCAGGTTACCGTTTTTTTTTTTTTTGGCGGTAACCATAATGGTGGTCGAGTAGATCATGTTGTGCGGGGTCGAGAAACCTCACTCCGCGCAACGGGGGATGATCGCACCACGTTGTGTTAAAATGGTCAAGCTTCCTCGAGGCAGTTACACAGTGCTTACTACTGTCTCTGGAAGTGAAAGCACCAGAAAATAAATTAAGTCATACGCAGGTGTCATCCGTACGCAAGGAAGTAAGCACAAGATGCCGAACACCCTTAGCAGGATGCAGCTCACCCTTCATGCGACTCGCCAAATACCTCACGGCGCTTCGCGCTTGGTGATGTGAGAGCCTGGTCCGGTGAGAACCCGGCGTGCTCCGTCCCGGCTTTGTAGGGATGCGAGGTCAATGGTCAAACGACTACGGCATGCACGACTATGAGTACACCCCCCCCCCCCCCCCCCCCAAAGGGAAAACTAAGGGAGGC